TGGAAGCAGGGAGCGCAGCCCTGTGTTTTGGGGGGCCCTGTGGAAGCAGGGAGCGCAGCCCTGTGTTTTGGGGGGCCCCAGCCTGGTGCAGACACGGCTCTGGACTGAAGGGGGAGCCCGAGCTCTGTCGATGTGGCTCCAGCCGGGTGGGGGAGGTGCAGCCTTGGCGGCCCTGGTCTGGAGGAGCCGCACCTAACATGGGTGCCCTGCCTGTTCTCACACTAAGTGCAGACGCACAGCCCTGCCCTGGGAGGGGGGGTAAGCCCCCTCTGCCCTAGGACGCCAGGGTGAGGGAGGAGGGGGCAAGTCTTAAACGGATTGAAGGCACCGGGCCTAGCCGTGGAGAGCCCCTCTGGGGCGGCTCGGGTCCCCACAGCCTGGAGGGCAGGCTGCGGCCTGACACACCACCTTCTGTTCTTCCAGCCTGGGCCGGAAGCCCTCGGCGGGCCCTGAAGTGGATGAGGACGAGGGTTTTGGGGACTGGTCCCAGAAGCCAGAGCTGTGGCAGCCACGCTGGGCGGCCGAGGCCCCCCAGAACGAGAGCCCCGAGAGGGGGCTGGCAGAGGACAGGCAAGTGGGGTGGAGGCCTGGAGGCTGGGCCTCCGGGCTGAGCTCCTCCTCGTCCTGAGCTCCTCACCCATGCTGTGATCGAGACCCCTGTTTCCCTTTCCTAGCCACCCCCCACCCCCTAAAGGCTTTTGGAGGGGGAAGAGAGGGAGGCAGGAAGGGATGGGAAGGAAGAGAGCTAGACGGTGATGTGTCCTGGGTGTGCTGGAGGGGGAAGGCGGTGAGGAAACTTCATTCCTGGCTCCCTGGGCCCTGGGGCCCTGTCCAGGCCAGCTGTGGAGGGCTGGGGTCCCAACACATCAGCACACAGCTGCAGCACGTATCTAAGGCAGGTTGTGCCAGGAAGGTACGTGTCCCTTCCGCCCCTGGCCCTCCCCGGGGCCGCTGACCATCCCCAGGAGGTGGACCAGGTGTACGCCTGCAGTTCCTCACGCGTCCCACACACGGGGACGCCTGGGCTTGTCTGACAGGGGTGGGGGCGAAGACCCCAGGCCCGCTGGGGCCTGGGCATGGTGCCGTTCCCCCCGCCTCCTCCCAGCTCAGGGTCCATGCCTGGGGAGTGGGAAGGCGGGCTCCTTCAGGCCTGTGTGTGTTTCAGCCTCAAATGTTCACCAGTTCCAAGATTGGGGCTAGGGCCCCATGGCCTCGAGCGGGCCGGAGCCCAAGGCTGAGCTGTCCACTTTCCCGGATTCAGCCCCCTGCTGGCCCCTCGGAGGCCCCGGGCCAGCAGGCACGCCCGCTCGGCCCTTCCTGCCTCAGGGCCTCTGCTCTCCTCCCCAGCACTGGCTCAGTTTCCCCCACGTGTCCTGGGGGACCTGTACACACCCAGGGTGGACATCTTGCTGCCTTGCCTTCCACGCAGCTCCCTCTCGGGCCCCACATCAGGGGCACTTTTGCTCTTCCCTGGCGGAGCCCGGCCTGTGGCTTCCACCCCCACCCCACACCTGCAGGGCCGCCGGGCCCCGGGTGCCTGAATGACCCCTCTGTGTGGCAGCTGCTGGCGCAGGCCCTGGCCCACCGTGGGCGGTGGGTCTGGGTCTTGGCTGGCACGCACACCCCGGGGTCTGAAATCATGGAAAATGAAAGAATTTACCGTCTTGTCCTCCGGGCTCATTCCCACTCACATACAGAGCCACACCCGGCGGCCAGCTGTCAGCCTCCCTTCCCCTTCCCCGGCCCTCTCCCTCCACGGCCCTCGGTCCTGATGCGGACCCTGCCCTCCCTCCACAGCCTGACCCCCTTGCCCACCCACAGAGCAGGGCAGGAGCCGGCAGCCCGGGCAGCGAGGCCAGGGACGGCCTCTGGAATCCGGCCTTGTCCAGAGAGGGGCTACAAGGGAGGTCCAGGCTCGGTGCCCGGGCGACTCTGTGTGCAGGGCCCGGGCGGCGGTCCCTGCTCTCCACGGGCCTAGGCCTGCAGCGTCGGGGGAGGGGGCTGCCTCTGAGGAGGCTGGGTCTCCCTCCCCAAAGAAGCAGGGATTCAGAAGCCCACCCCAGTTCACAGATGAGAATGTGGAGGGCTTCCCTTCCCACCGTAGGCCCAGGCAGCGTGGCTGTGACAGCGAGGCCAGCAGTGGGCCATGCCGACCTGACGTCCCCCTGGAGGACCTGCACCTGAGCCCGGAGGCTGCTGGGGGGCCCCCGGGGGCGGCAGAGGACGAGGTGAGGGCTCCCAGGGATGCGGACACCCCTCCCCCTCCCAATCTGAGAACACATTTCTGCAGGGCTGTGAGGCTGGTGACTCTGTGGGTGAGTTCTTCCCAGAACACAGATGGTTCCTCACCCTAACCGTCTGGCTTTCTTCTCTCTAGCACCAGACAGGTGGACAGCACAGGACCCCCAGCCCTCCACTCTCAGTGGGGACCGCGGAGCCCAGCTCACCTCCCCTGAGCCCCTCCATCAAAGTAAGTGAGGCCGTGTGCCTCCCCGCCCCGCCTCCCCAAGCATGGTCCCTTAGAGATTGGGACAGGGGTGGTTGGATGGTCAGCTCGGACCTCGGGGATCCGGAGCATGGATCTCGTTCTACGGCCCAAGACCCACACTTCTGCTCGCCCTCCACAGCTGGCGGACCGGACAGAGTCCCTGAGCCGCTCCATCGAGAAGAGGTGGGTCTGTGTGCTCTCCAGCATTCCAGCGCCCCAGGGTGGAGAGCTGGAACTGTGGAGGGCGTGGAGGGGGACTGGGGCTGCTGGGAGGCCCCGGTGGGGAGACCTGAGTGGGGCTCTGCTTTCTTCTTCCCTCCAGCAACAGCGTGAGGAAGACCCAGCCGGCCCTGCCCATCTCCACCATTGATGAGCGTCTGCAGCAGTACACCCAGGCCGCTGAGGTGCGTGCGCCTGCCTTGCTCACGCGCCAACCCCATCCCGCAGCACGGGTCTATCCAGCCGGTGTCAGCTCATCAACACCAGCCTGCGTCCTTCCACCCAACCAACACCCCCCCTTCACTAGCCCCCACCCCACCCACCCCACCTGCCCATCCAACCAGCACCCCTCTACCCCCCACACCCCTCCTTCAATCTGACCTCAACTCCCTTCCTTAGCCTGCGTCCCTGCACCCATCCCCGGACACCGGAGCATGTCCAGTGTCCTTCCTTCCCTATTCCCAATGACCAGGCCCCCATCATGTATTAAGGCCCTCTAGGGGACACCCAGGATAAAGAGGGACACTGGTGGACACACCCATGTTCAACTTCTCTTGGGGCTCTGTGTTCTCCGCAGTCTGCTGGTTGGACCCCGAAGATGACCCGCCAGACCTCCATAGAGCTGCCCAGTATGGCCGTGGCCAATACCAAGAACCTGTGGGAGACTGGAGAGGTGCAGACTCAGTCTGCTGCGAAGACTCCCCCCTGTAAGGTAGGGGCTCCCCCGGCGGGGCCGGTCCGGGAAGGCCAAGCTGGAGAGGTCAGCGGCCAAGGAGGTCCCTTTGGACAGAGGGCCCGGGGAGGCCCTGCTGGGGGCAGCGCCGTCAGGGGACAAGGGCAGGGGCCTTCTGTCCTGCCCTGCTTCTTCTGGGCCTCACTGGAAGGCAAGAGGGGGTCTAGGCAAAGCCGGGCAGAGGAGAGGGGCCTAGGACCTAGAGCCTCCAGCGCCACAGCCAGACTCTCTACCTCTCCTTCCTGAAGGATATCGTGGCTGGAGATATGAGCAAGAAAAGCCTTTGGGAGCAGAGAGGAGGCTGTAAGGCCTCCTCCACGGTCAAGGTAGAGCTCCACATTCCGGCACAGGCTGGGGGCAGGCAAAGAGGGGCTGCCCACATCGGGGGGATTGCCCTCACCAGCCCGACTCCACCTCTTCCCCAACAGAGCACTCCGTCCGGGAAGAGGTACAAGTTTGTGGCCACCGGACATGGAAAGTACGAGAAAGTGTCTGTGGATGAGGGTCCGGCGCCCTAGGCTGCGGAGGCCACCTGTGTGGGTGAGTCGGGTGAGGAGCAGAGCACGGCACATCGCCTGCATGTTCACATGGCTCCATCATTGTTCACAGTTGCCTTCTGCAAATGTGTCCTGGGGCCTGTGCGAGGCGGGGCCCTGGGGGCTGAAGGCCACGGCCCACACCCAGAGGGGCCTTCCTGGGCCGGGGCACACCGGAGCCCCTGGTCTCCAACCAGCCCAGAGTCCTGCCTCTTCTCCCAGGGCCAGGCCACTCAGCCGCCACGCCCTGGGGGACTCCCAGCATGCCTAGCGGGGCCTGCTGAGGAGGAGAGGCCACTGCGGGGCTGGCCTTGGAGGCGGCGGAGGACTCCCCGCGGAGTGCAGGCCGAGGGTCTGTCACAGGCCAGAGCCTAGGCCTGACCCTCCATCCTCACTGAGGCTACCGGAAAGTTTTACTGCTGGTGAAGACAGAGAGAATGATGCCGCATGGTTAGATGTGTATTTTTTTTAATTTTTTATTGTAAAGATACTATACAGAGGGTTACAGTTACATGAGCAAGGTAATGAGTACACTTCTTATTGAGCATTGTCACCCCCTCCATTGTTAGATGTGTATTTATTAGTGGCCTGCCCTCCAGGCTCCCTCTCGACAGCTATCCTGTCTCGGGCGGGGCAGTGGGCCTGCCCCTGAATCCTCCCCGCGGTGAGCCCTGTTGTGTTCCACTCCTGGCCCCTCTGAGGTCCTCTCCTAAGAACCGAGTGGACGGCAGGGCCCCTTCAAGGCCTTGCCCAGCTGCCGGCTGCCCCTCAACCCACCTTGGCTTGCTCTTCTGGTAGCTGGCCCCGACCTTCCCTCCCCCGTCTCTCTGTCCCCTCCTCGAGTCCTATTGCCGCAGCCCAGGAAGGGGGGAGAGGAGGCAGCCGACCAGGCCGCACCAGCCCTCTCCCTGCCCGGTCTCCTCCTACCCCGCCCTGGGCGCTCCCGAGTCTCCTTCTCCCTGCACCCTGACCCAGGGGTCTGGCTCCCATCCATCCTCAGACCCAGCCATCCCCCAGCTTACTCTAGTGGGATGAATCCGTCCCTTAGCCTTTGACAGCGAAGGGAGAGGGCCAGGCTGGCCACTCGAAGCCTGGCTGACCTGGCTGGGTGGGTGGGTGACACACTCACGTCCTTCTGCCCTCCCCAAGCCCCTGTGCTCCTCAACAAGGACTGATCCTGCCCTTCCTCACTGGCCCTCCTGCAGCCCCTCCATCCCCTGCCCCGTCCACCTCTCTGACTGGTCCTTTTGGGTCCCGCTACCTGACCTGCCCCCAACCGGCAGGCTGTACCCAGCACCTGCTGCCCCGATCCCATGCCCACCTGCTCCCATGATGCCCACCGCCCTCTGGTGATGGCCACACCCCCTTCTTCCCACCCACAACCCGTGGCCCCAGGGGAGCACCCTGGTCCCTTCACTGCAGCCGCCAGCCGGCCGCAGTCCGGTTGAAGTTCTTGGGTTGGGGGCTCAGCTCTAGGACGTGGTGGAGTTTGGGAGGAGGCCGCGCAGCCTCCTGCAGCTTCCGGGCGTTGAAGCGAGGCCGGTACAGGACGGGCAGGCGGCTGAGGCTGGCCACGGGCCGGTCCCCGGCCCCGGGCCCCGCTGTGCAGCTTCGCGATTCAGCCACTGACATTTGGTATAGCACCGCGTCCCACATCCTGGAGGCCCGGGAGGCGGGCGGCCGAGGCCCGGCCGGGGCCCTGGGCTCTGGCTGTGAGGGCTCCAGGCTCTGCTCAGGCTCTGGGAATGGAGGCTGCTCGGCTTCCTCCATCAACTGCCTCTTGAGACGTGTCCAGCCGCTGAGCCGGGGCTTGGGAGCAACTTTGGGGACCGGGCATGGGTGGGGGCCGGAGGGCGGGGCCAGGAGCGAGGCCAGGGGACTGGACACTTGCTCCGCCTGTGAGGTCAGCTCCTCCAGACTCTCAGTTTTGGGGCTCCTGGCGGCTGGGCTGAGAGGTGGAGGTCCTGGGGAACGGTAGGTGGGGGCGATGGGCACAATCACCCTGGCACCGGCCTCTCTGGGCACTGAGGCCTGGAAGCTGGGCGGCAGCCTAGCCGCCGGGGGCTCCCCTGGCCCGGGGCTGCCCGCCCGTGCCCCGGCTGGCAGCGGGCGGATGTGAGCGACTGGGATGAGAGGCTGGGTGCCCAGAGCACGTGGGGCTGTGTCTCCATCCTGGCCACGGGGCCCCCCATGCAGAGCCCTTCTGGGGGACTCAGGGGGCCCCGCGTGCGGGGATGCGGCCAGCTGGATGTGCACCTGGGTGATGTGAGTGGCGCTTGCCTCTGGGGCAGGGCTGGGGGCTCCGGGCCTCGGCGGGGCCTTGAGGTGAGCAGACAGAGCCCTCTGTTGGGTCCGGCTGACGGCGAAGGAGGACCTCTGCGGGGGTGAGGAGACCTGCGGGATGATGGGCGTGTGCGGGGGGCGGGTCTGTGGGGCCACCGCGCCAGGGGCCTCCACGGGACATGGAGCCTCCGGGGCCTGTGCGGTGGTGGTCTCCACCTCGTGGCTGGCCTCACTCACGGGGGACAAGGAGGCCCGGAAGGCCCCTGGGGAGGCAGGCGCGGCCCCGGCCATCTTCTTCCGGGCAGCTTTCCTCAGGAGCTTCTGCAGCCGCAGGTTGTCTTTTCCCGGCTTGGGCGGCAGGGGCGGTGGGGGGCCCAGGGGTCTTCCAGGGCCTGGGCCGCCTTCCCCCAGGGGCCCTGCGGCGCCCAAGGTGAGCATCCTGGTGCTGGAGGAAGGGGGCAGACAGGGCAGTCAGGCTGGTCGCTGCTTCTCCCTCCCTGCATGGGCGAGGGGCCTGTGGTCATCTAAGCCTGAGGGGGGGCAGGGGGATCCCTGGCCCTAGAACCTTCCATGTGCCTTCTGACCATTGTCCTGAGTGAATTTGTCCTGAGTGAATCTGAGGCCACTTGGGCAGGTGTCTTCAGGGTCTTTGTCCTCCCTGCTGGCCCAGCTCGAAGCTGGGCCGCCCGTGTGCACAGGCCCGGGCAGGCCGCAGCACCGCACGGAATGGGGGCAGGAGACCCACTGGCGAGCGCCAAGCGAGATGCTTGTGCCTGGCTGGCTGCCGGCGGCCGCGGCCGCTGTGGGCAGGAAGAAGGGGCTGCCTCCAGACTCGTGAGGGGTGCTGTGCCGCCGGCAACCCAACCACAGGCGCGTCCGTCATTGGCCAGCCAGTGGTGAGATGCCGGCCAAGAGGATCAGGAAAGCTGAGGCGCATGGGCAGAGGTAGACCAGCCGTGAGATGGGAGCAGTTTCCGCTGAGCTGTGCTAAATCGGATATGCCCCAGACCTCCAGGCCCAGGTGGTCCTGGAGAAGCAATCTGCCTTGGTTTCTGGGCAGCGGGCCTCGCTGGCCCTGCCCAGGCCTCCTCCTTGGCTTCTGGGCGCCCCATGTTTGCAAGGACATTGACAAATAGCATCTGGGCGGAGCCAGGGGCCGCCTGGTTTGGGAATGGAGGAGGCTTAGTGCTGTGTGATCGGGCTGGCTCTCCCCAGGATGGGTCCGGGAGGCATCTGCTGGGGCTGCGTCCCCATGGCTGGTGGTTTCTGGGGCCTGGGCCCAGCCCTGGGGACAGGCAGGGTGGTGGGCAGTATTCCCTCCCCTGTGAGCTGGCCATGAGCAAGGCCAAGGCCCAGGGTCTAGGGCTACACCCTGGGAGGGGGCCTCAGCAGGAGGCTGTAACAGAGATGGTCTCTGGGCTGTAGGAAGGGATGTGAGCAGGGTGACGGCCAGGTGGGGGGGGGAACAGAAGGTCAAAGCCGGACAGAAGACCCCCCCCCACCCCCACTAATCTTCCCCTCGCCTGTGGCTATGCCCGTGCAGGTGCCAGCGGCAGCTCCCTCCACACCCAGGAGAGACATGGCCTGCCGGGCTCCTGCGACAGCTCCGCTCGCTGCCACCTCCTCTGGCTGCTGTACCTTCCTGCCTCTACCCCACCCCCCCCCATTCTCTTGCCCCTGCCCGCCCCCACTCTGCCTCTCACATCAGGGAGAAGGATGAAAACCTAGGATTGGCCACAAGAACTGCTTCCTAGACGACCCAGGAGCCCCAAGAAAGTCGAGGTCTGCCCTCCCCCACGCTGAGCTGAGGGGCGCTTGAACTCGTGACCGATGCTCAGAACTCTGTCTCTCCCCGACCCCACTTTCAGATGCCCCCTATCCCCCCACACACATTTTGTGTAATAAAGCTCCTGGAATGTTCCTCACCAGCTCGCCTGTGTTCTCTCTTGCGGCACAGTTATGGATTTAGGCCATCTGTTCTGTGCCCAAGCTCCAAGTGTGTAGGAGCCTACATTGGGGTACCCATAGCCATAGTGTGTGGGGACCACATTTCCTATCCAGCATGTTTGTGATTCCTTTTCTTCTGTCCAATACAAGCTTCACAGTGTGCTCCGGTCTGTGCTCCACTGTGGCTAGTAAGGGTGACAGCCATTGTGACACCCAGGTGCTCAGGGAAGGCTTGTGGATGGATATCTGGATGGACAGATCAGTAAATGTTTGGCTGGCTGAGCAGATGGGTGAGTGGACAGAGGGATGAATGGATAGACAGATGGACAAGTGGATAAATGAATGGGAGAATAAGTGGATGGATAGACAGATGGATAAATGGATGGAAGTGTGGATGGACGGACGATGGATAGATGAGTGGATGGTGGGTGGGTGGGTGAACAGCTGGAGAAGCAGATAGATGGGCGAGTGAAGATGGTAGAGAGGAGGGAGGAGGAGAGGAGTGAAGGGCTGGATGTCGGAGCTGGCACGTGGATGGGGGGGGGCTGACCGGGACTCAGGTGAGCACAGTCTCCCCCAGTGCCTCTTCTCTTGCTGGACTAGCACTCATGTCCCGCCCCAGCCCCGTGCTCTGCCATCTGAAGCCCTTTGGCTCTGTCCAGGCTTGACCTTATCCACTGAGCCGTTTCCACTGTCTACATCCTGATCTACCCGCCTTGCCAACATGGTCAGCTCAAGAAGGCTAAGGCTCCACAGAACCCGGGTGCCGAGGCTGGAGGGTCAGCTGGCTCCATGCTCCTGACCCCCGGCCGCCCCACTGAGTGTGTGGGCCATGCTGCCTCCTCCTGGGCAGGATGCCACGTGAGGGTGGGGAGCAGGCTGAAGCCCCCCAGGGGACGTGGCAAGGCAAGGAGTGGACAGGGGCAGGGCCCGGAGCAGGTGTACCTCACTGGAGGGGGCAAGTGCCCCCCTGGCCTGTCCCGAGGCATGAGCTCCTAGGGTCTGCCATTCGCCTGCAGCGCCACAGACAACCTCACGCCACAGTGGTGCTGGCCACGCTGCCCACACCTGGAGGGGAGGCAGGCTCTAGGGGCCCCTGTCCAGGCAGCACCTGCCTGGGACTCCGGGGAGCGGGTCGCCCTGCCCGACTGCCTGAAGGGCCTCAGCTGACGCGGCTCCTCCCCCAGCCCACCCCTGTGGCCCTGCACCCAGGAGAGGCCATGGGAACCCACAGAGCCAACCTGGGATCTGTAAAACCAGGAGGCCCAGGGTGGCCGAGGCCGCTGTGACCGTGGCTCTGTCTCAAGTGCCACGTCAGCTGCTCCTCTCTCTGGAGAGGTCAGCCTAGGGCATGGGGTGAGGCTCAGGGTCCGCAGGCTCCTCCACAGCCAGCTGTGGGTGCTGGGCGAGGGGACAACCTGGTCATCCTGCCGGGTACCCACACGGCTGCCGGAGCCAAGATGGCCAGCTCCTCGTGCCCGCCGATTCTCCCACAGCTCAGCGCCCACTGCCTCGGAGGTGGACCCTCCCCACACACGGTGCGCTGGGTCCCTGGCCTCTTCTCTGGTGGAAACCAGTCTCCCATCCAACTGGCCTGGGCCACCACTAGTCCCTGACCTCTACCAGGGTCTCCACACAACCCCTCCCCGCCTTGTACGCGCACACATGCACACACACACGCGTGCGCACACACACTCACTCACTCCCTAAGGAAGGCTCCACCCCAGCTCCGCTCCCCACACCCAGCCTCAGCCGGGCCAGGTGGGACCTGGGGTGGGTTACCTGCTGCAGGTTCTTGGTGGCTGGCAGCAGCTGTGCAATGGTGCCCACGCTACGCTGTCCTGCTGCACCTCGGGCCTGGAGCTCTGAGGAGGAGGTCCCTCTTGTCCCTCTGACCTCACGGGAGGGCATCTGCCAAAGGCTGAGGCTCCAACGTGGGCAGCCACCCTCCCCTGCTGGCCAGGCAGGGCCACTGCAGAGCCCCATCCCGCCCGCCTGCCCAAGACCTGTGATAGAGAGAGCAGGGTGTGCCGGCCTCCAGGACCAGTGCCGCGGAGCCCGAGGGCAGAGGGCAGAGGTGGGCGGGTGCCAGCCAGGGGTGTTCACAGACGTGGCTCCACAGCAACCTCTACAGCCAGATTGCTGGCCAGCGTCAGGGAGGCGTCCCGGCCGGGTGGGGCCTGCCCAGTGCTCGCCATCTGAAGTCACGGGCAGGGGGAGTAGGAGGGGCTGGCTCGGACCCGGAGGCCCAGGGTGGCCCAGGCGTTCCGACACCCAGGGGTCTCCCAGAGCTGGGGACTCAGGAGGACACGGGCAGGGGTGGGGCTCTTCCCTGACAGTCGGCAGACTGGAGAAGGCCTCCCCCCCTTTGCCCTCTAACCAGGGGCCTGGCCCTGGTCCCGGTAGCCCCATCTCCAACAGGTAGGGTTTGGTGAGCACCCATCACAGCCTTCCAGATAGCCGGAGAGCCAGCTGCGGCACACAGCACACTAGAACTCTCAAGAGCAGGACCCCTGTGTGTGTCCCAGGTGTGCCCTGTCCTGGGAACTGGCTTGCGCCTGACACAAATTTCTTCCTTGACCTGGGTGGCTCCACTAGTCATGCCCAGACTATAGGAACTGGGGAAGTGGAATCAGGCATCAGGCTGCTCACTCTCCACCGGTGCCTCAGTTTCCCTGACGGCAGGGCTATCTGGGTGTGTGGGCTCAGTAGCACACACGGGGACTACCAGAAACCTAGGAGGATCTGCTGGTTGGAGAGTGCCCCCTGGAGTCCTGGGGAAAGACAGACCGGGCTCTGAGGCCAGGCTCCATGGCACACAGTCCAACCTGCTCAGGGCTGAGCACCTTCTGGAGAAAGGGGAGACCTCAGGGGGCCTGAACCCCTTCACAGACCAACGGCCGTGGCATGGCCCCAGCCTTGGAAGCCCCCTCATCGCTAGCCGCTGTGGGCAGTACTCTGAGCCTGCGCCACTGCAGGGCTCGGGCCATGGTTTCTTCTGCCCTTGGGGCCTGGGTGTGCCGGAGGGGGGGGTCCACATGGAAAATCAGGACTGGCCTCCAACGGGCTTGGGATGTCTTGGGACCAAGGACTCCAAAGCCTCCATTCTCTGGGCATCTTGGGCTCCTCTGATGGAGAAAGGGGAGTTGTCCTGGGGTAAGGTGCAGGTGAAGGAGAGAGGAGCTGTCCTGGGCACCAGGTCTGCTTCCCAAAGACCACTCGGATCTGGGCACTGTAGACCCGGAGGCTCTGGCTTTGTGGACCACCCCAGCCTGGCCAAGGGCGGCGAGCCGCCCCATCCTGCAGCCACTGAATCTCCTCCTGCTGCCATCCTTGGCCCATCAAGAATGCCCCCACTGCTGATGGTAAAAATAGCAGCTGACACCAGGCAGGGACCTCGCCTCCTTCTCCAGGCACGTCTCCTCCAACTCGCCTCCTTCGGCCTCTTCCTCCGGCCATTCCTATACTTGGTCAGGGGCCTGCACGGACACACCCTCCCCCCTGCCCAGCCACTGGCCAATGGGCTTCAGGGGAAGATCAAATGTCCTTATAACACAAGGCTGTGTGGGGTGAGCATCACCAGCAGCCGGTCCTGACCACAGGAGCTCAGACCTTCTCAGGCTCTACTGCAGGTGGGTACGGGGCACAAGCAGCCTGCCCAGGACCCCTGGCCACCTCAGGGCCGGGCTGCCAGCATCTGAGGGGCACTCCGGGCCCTGGGGCTGAGGGTCGAGGCCGCATGCTGCCTAGGTCTTCGACTGAGAACATGGTGGCAGGAGCCGGGAGGCTGCCTGGGGCCCAGGTCGGGGATTCTGGCACAGAGTTCTGATGCTTGCTGCGCCTCCAGGTGAAGCAGGAGGCTGGCTCCTGACCCAGCACAGGGCATGGGCCCTGGGCACGTGGCGGGGGTCCTGGGAGCCGCGGGAATGAGCTGGAGAGAGGAGAGGAATAAGACCCAGTCCATGCGTGGAGGGCTGCCTGCTCACTGTGGCTGTGGGGCCTCAGCGGCGCGGCGGGGTGCCCGGTGAGCGGGAGCAGGGTACAGCAGCCTGGGCTCTGGGTCTAAGCTCCCTCGACCATTTTGTAGGGGTGATGGCTATGGTGGAGATGCTTTGTGGGGAGAGGTGCCTGGGCCCCAGGTGGCCTGGGCACTCCCTGGTGTCCAGGTCGGGTGGTGGACGGGGCATGTGAGGGAGGACGCAAGCCGGGGAGGAGGGCCCAGCCCTGTCCTGCCTCACTGGAGCCCCCTGAAGCCCCACCCTCTCACTCAGGGTCCCCCTGAGGCCCCCAGACAGGTCTCTCATCTCTCGGGGCCCCCCCACGCTTGCCGAAGCTCTAGGGAATCCTGGGCGGAGACAGAGCCAGGCAGAGGGCAGCAGGTGGAGGGCAGCAGGCTCGGGGCAGCAGGTGGGGGGCAGCAGGCTCGGGGCAGCAGGTGGGGGGCAGCAGGTGGGGGGCAGCAGGCGGGGGGCAGCAGGCGGAGGGCAGCAGGCTTGGGGCAGGCGTGCGTCGAGTCGGTGGCAGAACCTCCTGCACCTCCCTGCACTCCTGGCTAAAACCCCCAAGGAGCTTGACCTCACAGGCTATTTCCATACACGGCCTCGGAGGGCACCCCCCGCCCCCGCCCAGACAACTGCTTTCCTTCTCTGAGGGTGGAATGTCCTCCCAGCCCCTGGCACCTGCCTGCACCCTCCCCAGCTGACAGGGGGTCGGGGGAGGTACAGGAGAGAGCTCCAGACAGGGGAGGGCAGGGCAGCCCCGCCCAGCCTCCTGCTGGCTCCGCACTGGGCAGGGGCCTCAGTTTCCCCATGTGGATTGGGGGGGATCTTGCCTCACCTCAGAAGGAGATCTTGCTGGCTTCATCCAGGAGCCAGGGACGGGGTAGGAGGGTAGAGTGACCCCCTGAGCTGATCCCCTCCCCCTTGCCATCTTGGGTTTCTGGGCAGAGGTGTCTTGCTCATTTTAAGGTCTATTTCTGGACACCTCAGCTGCCACTGGCTCCTTATAAATACCCACCCCCACCCTGGGCACAGGCCACAGGCCCCCTCCCGTGGTGGCTGACAGGTGTGAGGCCTGCCTGGCCAGAGGTGCTCCAGGCAGAGGGCCCGACTCCCCCCGCACGGCCCTCCCTCCCCAAGGAGAGCAGCCCTAGGGGAAGGCAAGTGTCCGAGGTTTGGACCCTCCCCTGGAGGGCATCACTCTGGATGAAGAAGGGGCGGACGGGGCCCAGGCAGGGCCAGCAGGGCGCTGGGCAACCCTGGCTGGTCGGCTGATGATGAGCTTGTAGGCTCCACTGCCAATCTGGGAGGGGCAGCCCACAGAGGGCTAACGGACCCCACAGCCTCGTGACACCACGCAGGGGTGCACCCAGGCTAAAAGGGGGTCTATAGGCACCATGCAGGGGTGCGCCGGGCTGGAAGGGGGTCTACAGGTACCAGGCAGGGGTGCGCCGGGCTGGAAGGGGGTCTCAGGTATGAGCTGGGTAGTCTTGTATGGAGATTAAAGTTGTTCTGGGAAAATGAACGCCATCACAGGGCTTCGGAAGGCCCCCACCTTAGCGTGGATTACAGTTCCCTTTTAGCCGGTGGACCACAGCAGGACACCTGCAGCCAGCCTTGGGCACAGGGTTCTCCAGTAGACGTCAATGGCTTCCCAAGCACCCAGGGGATGTGGGCACATGGTGGCATCTTCTTCTCAATTCACCCAGCACCTGCCCAGGCCCCAGCCAGGATCTCCGAGCCCGCTGGGGAAGGAGGCAGGGCAGTGTGGGCGGTCTGACATGAGGAGGCCCTCACAGGGTCTCATGACACACAAGGGGCTGCGGGGTGCCCTGCCAGGGCACCGAACTCCCAAAGGAGCCACAGTGGCAGACTGATTAGAGCAGGACTGAGAGGCCAGGGAAGGAAGCCCCCTGCCCCGCGGGGGGGAGCTGGGCCTGGGGGTCTTGGGCCAGCAAGAGGCAGGGTTCAGCTCAAACCCGCAGGGGACTTCTAGGGTGCATTCTGGTGACCCTCTCAGGAGGCCATGTGCCGGAGTGGGTGGACGCCATGGGAGCCAGACACCCCTCCTAGCTCTGGGGCTCTGAGAGCCAGAGGCAACCAGGGCAGAAGATGGTCTGAGTCCAGGAGGCAGGGAGCTTGGCCTTCCACCTCCAAGGTGGCCGCTGCCCTCTCCCAGCCCGCAGGCTCCCGCACAGCTGAGCTATCCAGCTCCTAACTACCCCCCTCCCCACCCCTCCACAGAACACCACTGCCACCATGTCTGACGAGGAAGTGTGAGTAGAACCACCGCCTGCAGAGTCCTCCCGGCGACGGGCAGCTCCGGCTGACCGGGGTGGCCGGGCTGGGGGCCGGCTCGCAGCACCAAAGCCACTTTTCTCTCCCTCTCTCTCTCTCTCCCTCCCTTTCTCTCAACGACAGTGAACAGGGTGAAGGTGAGTGCCATTGCTATGTTCTGTCTTTCCTTCTGCCTCTGGGAGGGTCCGTGGTTGTAGTGGACGGAGAGCCCCCAGGAAGCCCTGACCCAGAGGTCCCAGACCAGCTAGTCAGTGGGTGCGCTTTGGAGCCACCCACCCCTCTCCAAATGACCTTGTGGCCTAATATCCCCCGTGCCAGCCTGTGCTGTGGTGTGGGTAGTGTGGCTCCCAGGACCCCATGGGCCTCTGGCATCTGTCACCCCCACAGCCACAAGAGGATAATGGAATCAGGGGACACCCAAGGGGTTGAGTGGTCTCCTCCTCCAGGCCAGGCAGCCTCCTCTGAGCCGAGGCCCCCGGCCTCCGTCCCTGGCCAGCAAAGGTGCTGGGCTGTCCAGGGATGGGGCGTCTCGGCCCTCACCCTCCGTGCTGTCTAACAAGGCTCCTGTCTTCTGTTCTATCCCAATGCAGAGCAGTACGAAGAGGAAGGTAACTGGCGGCCCTGGTGGCCCCTAGCCTCCCCCCCACAGGTCCCCCTCTGCTTGGCAAAGGCCTGTTCTGAGGGTCCTCCCTGAGGTGTCCATTAACTGCTCCCCTTCCTCGTCGTTAATTCAGCATTAACCGTCACCATTCCTCATTAACTTAGCTCATGATTAATAAAGTAACCATTCGATTAATGATCAATGACTTGATCATTAATTGAATCTCATTAACTTCCCATCCCATCCGCGGGTTAGAGGATCCTCATTAATCCTTCATGAATGCCTGGTGGTCACTGTGAGCGTGCCGTGTGCCGTTGGTGGGGCGGGCATTAAACACCTTACTCATTAATACCAAGGGCCTTGGTCTACACACGTTCCTCTCATCTCTGCCTCTCAGGGCCCCTCAGATTCTCTCCATCCCTGCCTCTTGGTGTTCCTCATTGTCCCTGTCTCTCTGTCTCTGTCTGTCTCTCTCCATTTCTCTGCCTCCTTTTCCATGTGTCTGTCTCTCCATCCAACTGTCTTTTCTGTCTCTGTCTCTGTCTCTGTCTTTTCCTCTGTCTCCCTCCCTCTCTCTCTGTTTCTACCTCTCTGTCTTCCTTCCCCCAGTCTCTCTGTTCCTGTCCCTCTGTGCCTGGGTCTCTGACTCTCAATCACTCTGTGCTCCACCACTCCGCTCTCTATTTGGGCTCGGAGCACGGCATTTCCCAGACCTGCAGCGCGGCTCGCTCCTGGCGCGAGTTCCGACCCACCGGGGCTGTGGGTCCTGTGAAGGAAATGTCTGGAAACACTTGCTGCCCTCAGGACGGGGGGCAGAGCCCTTCTTTTCTGTGGCTTCTGAGAGAGAAGCGTGCACTCCCAAAGAATGGCCAGGAAGGTCTGGTTTCCTCGAAGCCCTACCCTGGGGCCTCGGTGGCACAGGGTCCTGTCACCACACACGGGCTTTGCTCCAGGGCCTCACTTCTGTCCCTCACAGAGCAGGCCACAGCGACGCCTCCTTCCTACCCCCCCCCACACACACACCATGCACCATGTGGTGCTGGGCGGCCGGCTGTCTTGGGCATTCCTTGCACGTGATGCCTTCGGGAACACGGGACCGGCCACTCTCCCTGCCAGGCCCGGGCGGCCCTGCCTGTCCCCAGGGGCCAGCCTTGTGTCCACCACTGCGCTCTCCTCTCTAACGGAGGTCCTTGTTCTTTCTCTCTTTCTGTCCCGCCTGCCTCCTCTGCTGCCGGCTTGTCCTACCCCCAGAAGAAGCCCAGGAGGAAGGTAAGCGGGTGCAGGACCCGAGCCCCCACCCCTCCCAGCCTTCCTGCCCGCCCTGGGCCTGGCTCCCCTTGGCGACCCCTTCCTGGGGTCATGGCCCCCGGCCTCTGCCTCTAAGGATTCGCGTGTGCTCCTGTCTAACCCTGTCCTCTCTCCTTCCCGCCCCGCACTCTCCGGCACTCTTGGGCCGCAGAAGTCCAGGAGGAAGGTACGCACACACTGGACTTCTTGTCCCCATGTGGGGCCCGGGTCTGGCTGGGGCCGGGGGGGTGGGGAGGGGAGGGGTCACCGGGGCGCCAGCCAGCGGGGGGCCTCACATGTGGCCCCACGTAACCCACTAACCCAGCCCCATGCTTGACCAGGAAGGTCCTGGCACCCAGGAATCCCATGGGCAGCACAGCCAAGGACCCCCACCCCAAGTCCCTGAGTTCTGGAGCCTGGCATGGGCTAAGACCCCACCGTGCAGGCTGACCTCCTGGTTAGGCCAGGACCCCGGGCTGGGTGTCGGGATGGCTCGGGACACAGGGGAGAGGCAGCGGGAGGCAGAGGCCTGCGGCCTGGGGCCAGGAGAGGTCCCAGCCCTCCGGTCAGCGCCCACCACTGACCCAGCAGCATCCCCCATCCCGTCCTCAGCAGGGGTCTGCTCCACTCCCCAGAGGCCCCAGGCCAAAGGGACACAAAGGAGAGTGTTCTCCAGTCCTTGGGATGGCAGGAAATGGGATGTCTCCCTGGGCTTCAACCTTCTTTGGGGGCCTCTGGTGCCGCCTGACCAGGCTGTACCCCTAGACAGGGGCCTCCCAGTCCCAGCCTCGGTTTCCCCCTCTGTGAGGCAGCAGGGGTGTGGGGGTGGGGCGTGGGCTCAGGTCTCAGAGCCACTCCTACTCCCAGGTCTGAGAGGCCGTGGGATCTGGGGCACAAGGCGGGGTGGGGGAGGCGACCACACGCCCAGCTAACTCCCACCCTGTCTTGCTGGCTTCCCGCACGTGCCCCACCCCTCGGCCTCGAGTGGCAAAGGGCCGTGTCCTTTCTCCTCTGACCTCTGACCTCTGACCCGCGGCTTTGCCTCTTGTTCCATGGCCCTCCTTAGCCCCTGAGACTCATGAACCAGGTATGTGACACGGCTTTGGAGCCACGTGGCACGGAGGGCCGTGTGTGGTGGGGTGCAGGAGCAGGGCCGAGAAGGAACAAGAGGGGCCATGTAACCCACTCACACTTGGTTCTGCTGTGCTCCCGCTGCCGCCCCTCCCCTCCTCCCCCACCCCACCTGCCTCCACTCACCCGGTCTCTCTCCTCCCTCCCTCTCCCCAACCGGCTGCTGCTCACAGAGGAAGTCCAGGAAGGTAGGCCACCCACCCCCCACCCACCCCCACTCTAGGCCCCCTCACTCTCTTCCTCCTGGCACACTCACAACCTAGTCCTGGCCCCTGGGCTGGCCGCACTGGCCTCGTTTGCCCAGGTGGAACCGAGTAGACTGGGGCAGGTTTCAGTGCCCCAGGAGGCAGGGGAAGGTGGAAGGTGTGCAGAGCAGGCCTAGGGAAGACCAAGCCCTCTGGGTCCACCGGGGCAGGGTGGAGGGGAGCAGGCAGAGGAGGAGGGGCGGGCGGGGCTGGGGGTGGCCTCCACCCTGCCCCCTGCCACAGAGGACAAACCGGGGGAAGGAGGGGCAAGGCTGAAGGGAGGTGGAGGAGCAAGTGGGGTGAAGCGGAAAAGGAAAGTCTGGCTGAGGCCCGAGGTGGGGATGCTGGGGACCCGGAACAGCCGGGGGCCATGCGTGCAAAAGAGCAATCAGTCAGCTCCCAGCATCCCACCCATGGCCTGCACCCAAGCCAGGCACACCCAGCAGGCTCCCAGGGAACCGGGGGCCTACCTGCCCCACAGCGGGGCTGGGAGCCGCAGATCCCAGGCCGAGGCCCAAGCGGGGTGGAGGGAAGCGCCTCAGCCCCCCATTCACACACTTCTACGGAACTGCAGGGCCTGGGCCCCTCCAGGGTGCCCTCCAGGGTCCCCGGGTCCCCCAGGAGAGGGGCTGGGTCGCACTGTCAGCTCACACAAGATGGTGGTGGCCGGAAGCCCACCTATGGGGGCCTTAGGGCACCTGGGGCCAGCACTGAGGTCAGCAGATGGACAGATGGACAGACAGGAGAGCGGGGTTGCCCGGAAGCTTTGCTGCTTAGCCATGCGGCTGCCCCCTGCTGCGCTCAGCTTCTTCCTCAGGACCCCGCGGCCAGGTTCCATCCCACCAGACCTGGACAGGGGGGCCTTGCCGTCCCTCAGCACCCCCCCCAGCCCTTCACGGGACTCGACTCCCAGCACCGCCACAGCTCCATACACGCTCTAGGACTTAGAGGAGGCTGGCATCAGGCTTGCCTTCAGAGCTGCATCGCCCAGCCATGGGGCTCTAGTTCCTAGACAACAGCGTGTTCCAGAAGCCCGGGAATAGAGATCCCAGATAGACCCTAGCCAAGTGCAGGTATCAGGAGAACTGGCAGGCTGGACCTTCACCGACGAGCTCAGACGAGGCCTGCTCATCACTAACCATGTGCAGAAGAAGAGGCTGGCAGTCCGGATGTCCCCAACCAAGGCTCCCTAGGCCGGGCAGGCAGGGCCAAAGGCGTCTCCCGGGGCTGACCCTGAGCCCAGAGCGGGAATGAAGGCTGGTGTGGGGCCTGGCCGTGGTCAAACCCCTCCCTGCTGGAAGGTCCCAAGGCTGGAGGCCACTGCTAGAGCCCACGTTGACACTGTGAGCTCCAGCGGGACTCTTTGGGCAGAGTTGGTGTTAGAAAGCAAATACGCATCAGGATCCACACAGGAGCAGAGCACAGAGAATGCGCCATCCCTGTGGCTTCGGTGATGGTCTGGGGCTCAGGGCTCAGGAGGCAGGGCTGCGGGGTGTGCTCGGGGCCCAGGGGCTATGCCAGCCAGCTCCAGCCCCACAGTGTGACAGTCAAGGCCAGGACTATGTGCACCCCCAAAGAGCAGCACTGTACGTGTAGCCGGAGGGCCTGACCGGGGTCCAGGCCTCTGGGTGGGCAGAGGTGCTGCCCGGCCGCCATCGCCCCCCCCCCCGAGGGCTCTGTGCCTGCTGCTGCTCCGCGTGGCCGATGCTCCGGGCAGCCGCTCGCTTCTCTCTTGCATGTGTGCTTGTGCCTCCGCCATGAAGAAGCTGCTGAGGACGAGAGGGAGGAGGACGAGGAAGGTAAGGTCCTCCCGCTGCTCCCCGCTGCCCGCTGCAACCCTTGCAGGACACTGGCTCTGGCGGGCTCTGCCCACGGGAGACAGAGAAGACCCACCCACCGGTGTCTGTGTCACTATCTCCCTGTCCTCCCCCCTGTGCCTGTCCATCTGTCCATCTGTCCTCTTCTCCTCCTTGGCCAGGGGCCTCGAGGCCCAGGCCCCACCGCTCTGCATGGCACCGGCCATGGAGCCTGAGCTTCTGCCCACACAAAGGTGGTCACTCAGTGGGGAGGACCCCAGAACAGCAGCCCCCAGCCCCCCAGCCAACACCTTCCTCCAGCTCTCCACTGCCCCCTCCTCATCTCCTGCCCTCTACTTTCCCTGGGGCCCCCAGGGCACACACTTCTTGCGGGGATTTCTCCTTTCTTCCCTTCCTCCCCATGCTCTGGGCCTTTCTGGGACCCCTCGGACCTTGCTCAGGCCTAGACCTGGGGGCTAAGACCTCCTTCCTTCTGGAGGGGTGGGATGTGGGGGGTGGACTCAGCTGGAGAGGTGACTGGCCCTGCAGGTCAGCCCGAAGGGCCCTGTCTTACCTGTTGTCTCTTCCTTCCTTTCCCCATGCTGGCCCTGTGGTGACCAGAGGAGAAGCCCAGGCCCAAGTGAGTACAGAGTCCCAGATGGGCTGAGTGGACTCGGGCGGTCAGGTACAGCGTCCAGGATGGGCTGGGTGGACACGGGCAGCCAGTGTACAGGCTTCGATCTTATTCTGGGGGAAAAGCCCAAGTGCACAGGACACTAGGGACCAGGGTTGCTTTGGAATGCACAGGACAGTGGGGAGAGAGCCTGTGTTGGACATCCTATGTGCGGAAGGAAAAGACTGTTGGACCAAGGTGCAGAAGCGGCTGGGGAGGCTGGGGGGTTGAGGCTGCCCAGGGCACCGGCAGCCCCAGCTCCCTTTGCCTCTTTAGACCACACCAGCCCAGCTGTGGCGGTGTATGTTGGGGGGGGACTCACTCAGAGCCCCAGGTATGAAATGTAGGGTAGAAAATGAGAAGTGGGAATGTCTTACTCCAAACCCATGTTGGATGGGCTGTGTCCAAATCAGCCTGTGCCTGGGGGTGCTAGGCCCTCCTGGGTAGCCCCTAGTTTTTAAGGGGCAAACCCTCAATTCACCCACTTGTGAGTCGTTCAGAACTCTCATTTTATGGTTATTTAAAAATTTTGTTATTATACACACGACAGAGGGCTGCAGTTCCCTAAGTCAGGTAGAGTGCATTTCTTTCTGGACAATGTCACCACTTCCCTCGCTCACTCTGTTTTTCCCTTCCATCCCCATTTTATTAGCTTTTTTAACCCAACTTTTCTTAGCTGCCTGGCACCGGGGCTTATTCCCACACAGGCCTCTTCCCTGACTGCCCAGTCTCTCACCTGCACCTGGCTCAGACCGTAGGGGGGTTTCGGGGTGCAGGAGTGCACCCCCTTTGCTTGCTCCCACAAAGGAGAGCAAAGATAGGTTAGAGGTATGGCTGGCGTGTCCACATTCTCGTACTTTTATTTTCAGCAATTTAAAATAAAGTAACGCAAGGGTCGTAAGATATTTTCTCATTTTAGGAAAACTGTTTGTGTTTTCATTATGAAAATAAAACACCTCATTAAAGAAAATTTGGAAAATACGTAAAAGTCAAATGAAGAGAGAAAAAAAAAAAGATCCATAATTCTCCCATCCACCCACCACCCACCCGCCCGCCCGCCCGCCCGCCCGCCGCCAGCGTGTGGAAAGGAGCAGAAAGAAATCAAAGTCGTTATTTCTTCCTACTCTTTTTCCACGACAAGGGCTCGGGAAAAAAAGACCTCAACTCTGCTGGTTTTCAAACATGAGACTGTCTATACAGCCTTGAATTTTGCTTTCTTTGAAAAAAAATTAGCACTATTCATAAGTATTTTTCCATGTTTTTACATAGTCTTCTTAAATATTTTGAATGGCCACATAATATTCCGTCAATTGAGCAAACCATACTGTTCCTAACCACTCCTCTATTGCAGGCTTTCCCCCAATATTTTACTATCATAAATAACGGCGGTGAAGCATTTTCCATCTTTGGGGCTATTTCCCTAGGCCCCATTCCCAGAACTGGAATTACTGGGTCAAAGAGTGTGAATGTTCTTAAGACTTTGACATTTATTGCCAAATTGCTTTCCACAAGGGCCTGGCCAAGGAGGCCTCCTATGTGGGCTGTACCCCACACCCTCCACCCAGAGACAGAAACATGCTTTTTCCTCCCCGCCATTGATGGATGGCGAACAGCACCTTGTTTTCCTTTGCATTCCTGGGATGGTACGAGGGCCAGTCATCCCCGTGCTGGTGAACTGCTTGTCTTTCTTCTCTGAGAACTGGCAGCCCATGCCTTTACTCATTTATCTTACGGCCGACATTTCTCGATGTTTTCTTAGTGATTCGTTTGCATAGGGATATAAGTCTTCTCTGTACTTGCTGAATATATATTTTTTTAAGTCTGGGTGGTTTTTTTTTTCCGCCTGTGCTACAGTTTTTGCTTTTTTTTTTTTAACGTACATAAGTTTTTCATTTGTGCGGTGTCATCTGCACGTCTTTTCCTTGGAGGAGGCTCCAGAGCTCGGAGAACAGCCTTCCGCTCCAGGTTTTGATCGATATTCAGCCCCCCTTTCTTCTGTGTCTTGGTTTTGAAAGCCGTTCTTGTCGTAACTCTCTGCTCCATCTGGAACGGATTGTCGGGGGGAGGGGGTGGTACAGCCAGCACACTGGGGGCTTCTTTCCTCTTCACACTGCTCGCTGAGCCCCCTCTTCTCCTTCCTCTGGGCCTCCAGAAAGAAAGATGAAAGAGAGGCCAGAGACACGAGGAAGACCACAGTCAGTCCCGGCTACAGAGCCTCCCGACACCCACGGCCCCCAGAGGGCCTGCGGTGGCATCCTGTCCTCCGAAGGGACCTGGCCATGCTTCGGGGGGTTGAGAAAGAACTTGGGGGTCCCCTCCCAGAGAGGCGGGATCTCAGAACCTTCTCTCAGGGGGTCAGGGCCCTCTTGGAATGTGGGCTATAAATCAGATAAGAACAAAGCCCAGGCAAATGTGCCATTAGGCAAGATGCCCTCTCCTGCCAGGTGCACAAGAATGAGGGCGGACCTGGGGCCAGGTCAGTGCAGGTTCACCCCCACCCCCCAACACACACACACAGATGCCTCAGCTCTACCTGCTCATAATCGACCCTTCTCCTCCTCAGACTGACGGCTCCTAAGATCCCAGAAGGGGAGAAAGTAGACTTCGATGTAAGTTTATGGGACCCAGATCAACACCCATCTCCCGTCCCCACCCCCTAGCCTTGGTGGTCCAGGCAAGGTCTCAGAAGCACATCTCTTCCAGAGTCAGGGCTTCCTGATTCCAGGCCACTCTTCCAGAATTGATTCCTAGATTTGAAGAAACTCTTCCAAAGATAGTACCTTCTTCCCTTCCCATCCACCCATCCCTTCCTCCATCCCTCCATCTATCCATCCATCCTCCCTCCCCCCTCCATCCCTCCATCCATCCATCCATCCCCCTCCCTCCATCCCTCCATCCCTCCATCCACCCATCCATCCATCTATCCATCCATCCATCCATTCATCCACACATCCATCTACCCATCCCCCCTTCCTCTCTCCATCCCTCCCTCCCTCCATCCATCCACCCATCCATCCATCTATCTATCCATCCATCCATCCACACATCCATCTACCCATCCCTCCATCCATCCATCCACATATCTATCCATCCATTATTCCATGCATGCCTGCATCCACCCACCCATTCGTTCATCTATCCAGCCCATCTGTTATCCACATACTCATTCATCCTCTCCACCCATCTGTTTATCCATCCATCCTTCCTTCCATCCTTCCAGTCACTCATCCATCCATCCACCATCCATTATTCCATGCATGTCTGCATCCATCTATCCAGTTACTCATCCATCCATCCAATATTCCATGCATGTCCACATCCATTCACTCACTCACTCACTCATCCATCCATCCATCCCATCTGTTATCCATACATGTACTCACCTAGCCATCTGTCCATCCATCCATCCATTATGCCATGCATGCCTGCATCCACTCATCCAGTCATTCATCTATCCACCCATCTATTATCCACACGTTTACCCGTGCAGTTACTCATATGCATCCATCTACTGTTTATTTGCTCATTCATCAGCTCACTGAGCCACACTTCTACTGGTCACTTCTTATCTAGCTATCCACACAGACATCTCCAATCATCCATCTGTCCATCTCTCCAGCCATTCTCTACCAATAACCCATCCACTTATCTATTCTCTCATCTGTTCACACACCCATCCACCCGTCTCTACGAAACGTCTCACCTCCTGTTCGCTTACCCATCAGCCCATTTGTACAATGAGTTCCTCTCGCCAGCCTCTTCTTGGCTACAATGGATGAGTCATCTCTGAGGATGGCAGAACCAAGTCTGAGCCAGCCTATCCCAGGCATGCCCCCTGGCTTCAAGGTTGGCCTGGGGATGGCCTTGCAAATGGCACAGGCACCATTCCTGCAATGGGGCTTGAGGGTCAGGTCATCATGAAACCAGGAGGTGCTGCAAGTCACGGTCATTATGATGATGACTAGAGGAAAAAGACTGAGGAGTGGAAGGTGCCCCTTGCTACATGGAGGGTCTGGTCTAGATAAGAGGGGTGGAACCTAAGAGCTCTCCCCGTGCCCCCCTGGCCCCCTGCCTCCCCAGGACATCCAAAAGAAGCGTCAGAACAAAGACCTCATGGAGCTCCAGGCCCTCATTGACAGCCATTTCGAGGCCAGGAAGAAGGAGGAGGAAGAGCTGATCGCGCTCAAAGAGAGGATTGTGAGTGCGGTTGTTCTGCGGGGCTGGATATGGCGAGGTGGGGCACGGCAGGGCCTGTCCAACCCGCCTCTCGGCTGCAGGAGAAGCGCCGCGCAGAGAGGGCCGAGCAGCAGAGGATTCGTGCCGAGAAGGAGCGGGAACGCCAGAACAGACTGGCGGTGAGCAGTACCACCCCGGCCGGGCCCTCCCGGGAGCCCGGAGCCAGGGGAGGGGACCCTGGCCTTCCTTCTCCCGGGGCCCCCAGCTCGCCACCACTGACTCCTTGCCCCACACCTCCCCTGCAAGCCAGCGGACCCTGACAGGCTGGAGTTTGCTCCCAAAGAACTTCCAAGTCCGGGGTGGGTTCTCAAAGTCTGCACCAGAGGGCAGCCCTGGCCCAGCCCGCCCTGAGGATCTGGGGATGGCATCTCTGTAGGAAGAGAAGGCCAGGAGAGAGGAGGAGGATGCCAAGAGGAGAGCCGAGGATGACCTGAAGAAGAAGAAGGCCCTGTCCTCCATGGGAGCCAACTACAGCAGCTACCTGGCCAAGGTGAGGCCGGCGCTGAGAGCCCTGGGGCGGGTGTGGCTCTGGCCCAGGCTGGTGCAGGCCCCTTCTGAGACCAGGCCTTTCCACCCGGCCCTTCTTCAGGCTGACCAGAAGAGAGGCAAGAAGCAGACAGCCAGGGAGATGAAGAAGAAGATTCTTGCCGAGAGACGCAAGCCACTCAACATCGACCATCTTAGTGATGACAAGCTGAGGTGGGGGAGGAGGACGGCCACTGGGAAGGCCCCAAGGCAGGACCGGGGCCGGAGGGGGGGCGGCCGTTCGGCCCTGCCTGTGTGCTGTGCGCCACCCATGTCGCCCCTTCTCCACCTCTCAGGGACAAGGCAAAGGAGCTCTGGGATACTCTGTACCAACTTGAGACGGACAAGTTTGAGTTTGGGGAGAAGCTGAAACGCCAGAAGTATGATGTGAGTCCAGGCCCTGTCCCCCGCTGCGGGCCCCAGGGCTTCACCAGCCCCCACCCCCGCCGCGGCCCGCTCCCCTCTGGATTCCCCGGGACCCAGGCCCGCAGGCACACTGGTTTGCCTGCCCCGAGCCCCTCCGCCCAGATGCCAGTCTTCTCAGCACAGGCCGGGCCTGATGCACAGCCCTGCCTAGAGCTGGGAAGGAGGAGGCGGGATGGGTCTCCTCTGTGGGGGAGGTGGACAGCTGGAGGGGGGAATTTTGAACAATCTGAGGGCAACGCGGGGGCAGAAGGCAGACTTGGATGTAAGGCTCTGGGCTCCGGCTGCCCAGGGGAGGCTGAGGCCTCTGGGCTAGGCGGGAAGCTGGACACTGGCTCCCTTTGAGGGCTTGTGCCAGGGGACAGGGCCCAGGCCTGGGAGAGAATCACTCAGTGCCAGCACTGTCACGTGAACTTGGTCATCAAAGCCACCTTCAGCGTCCGGGATGAGCTCAGGATGGAAGGGCACCTAGTGGGTCCTGGCTCCCTGGGAGTGGGGACAGGCGACCTCCTGAGCCCAGTGTGCCTGCCTCTCACGGAAGGAGCTCCAGCCCTCCCCTGGAGGCTGGGGCTGGCCACAGCTGGCTCCATCACCCCGGGCCTTGGGACCCTAGAGGGAGGCAGGACAGAAGACTCTGCTCACGTCAGGTCCCGGGGGCTCAGAGAGCAGCATTAACGAGCCAGCTCATGGGCCTCGGCCGCCCGCCCAGCCCAGTAACCATCTTGGTCTTTCTAGATCATGACTGTCCGGGCCAGAGTGGAGATGCTGGCCAAGTTGTGAGTAGTCAGAGCCTGCCGTGGGCCAGGCTGGTGGGTGTGTCGAGTCTATGCCTCTCGCATGGCAACAACCTGGTCGCTCAGGGCGCCGGCGGCAGGAGGTTGCTCTCCTTCCCGCCCGGAAGCAGGGGCTTCCCGGCTGGTCTGTCGCCCTCGCTCGCAGGTGAGGAAGAGCCTCGCCTTCTCGGGTGGCTGAGAGCAGGAGGGTCGGGGCAGGCAGCAGCTGGGGAAGGAGGGGTCTGCAAGGACTCACCTCCACCCTGCCCACGCCCTCACCCCCTCCTGCCACAAGCCCAAGGTAAGTGGCCAGCTCTGAGCTGCTGCTGTGTGGTGTAGCCAGTGAGTGAGACGTGAGCCCCAGGGCCTGGGGCAGAGCCCACCGGGCCTCAGAAGGAGCCGCCAGGACACAGTAAGGGAGCCGGCACAGGAAGGCGTGGACCCCGGCCGGCACCCCGGCGTGGCCCCACACCCGGCCCCGCGGGGCTTCCTGGGCCCTGGCTTCACAGTAAGTTGCCTGTGTTGTTACAGATCACCACCCTCAGGAGCCGCATTGACCAGGCCCAGAAGCAGTGAGTAGCTTGGCCGTTCTCGCTCTGCTCAGGACACAGGTTCCCCTGGGGCCAGCCACCTTCCTCCCCGCCCAGGCCAGGCTCACACCGAGCCGGTCCTGAACCCCGGGCCACTGGTGGCCGGCCCTGGACTGAGCAGTAACCAGACTAACCCAGCCGGGCCTTCAGCCGGCTTGCACAGGCCGCGCCCCTCGGGGTGCCAGCCAGCTCCTCTCCCACCAGGGGTGGCTCACGCCCGTGCACCCCCACCAAGTCCTGCGCAGGGTGGGCGGCGGGCCGGCAGCCGGGAAGCCCCGTTGCGGCTGCCATGGACCCGGCGTGGCTGGCTGGTCCATTGCACGGCGCTTCACCCTCAGAAGCAGGGCATGAGAGCTGGCTCCTCGGGAGGGTCACCCCGGTGGACGCCGTGCCCCAGACCACGGGCCTGGGCTCCGAGTCCCGTCCTGGGGCTAGCTGCTGAGCCGGCCGGTGGTGTGGCGGCCTCTGGGAACGCCGGCTTCCCAGGAGTCATCATCCCTCTTCCCACTGCTTCCCAACTTGAGACCCTCATCGGAGAGAAGGGGGCTGATGACGGAGGCCCCCGCCGCCTCCCCGTGTCTGTGCTGTGGGTCAGGGGTCATTACAGGCTGGTTTGGCAAGTTGCCCAGTGTGCACATGTGTGCACGTGTGTGTGCACTCCTGTGAGGGTGCCCGGGAACACGGGTGAGCAGGCGCCGCCTCGGAGTCCAGTCCCACGGGCCTCCCCGCCCTCCCTGGCAGCCAGCAGGGACAGGTGTGGCCAGCCTGCCTGGGTCTCTGGCGTGCAGGGCCTCAGACAATCGGGCAGCCCCAGCGGCCACCTTCAGACAGGGACGTGGCTGTGGCCTTCCGGAACAGCTCCCCTACGGGGGGGGGAGGGGTCTGTCTGCAGTGACCCTGGTGGGGCAGGGGGTCCCTGGCTCCCCTCGCTTGCTCCTGTCCTAACCACACTAAGTGCTCACGCAGGCCTGACCGGCCAGCCGCAGGTGAGTCAGCACTGCTTGGCCTGGAGTGAGTGTGAGCTGAGTGTGCAGGAGGTGGGGGGGTCAAGGAAGGAGGCCAGAGGCTCACCCTGCAGAGCCTGGGGAGGCCAGCACGGGAGGCTCCAGGGCCAGCCCGGGCCTGGAGGCCAGCCTCGGCCCCGGCTCCACTGGACACCCAGACCTCAAGGGCAACTTGTTTCCCGCTTACAGCAGCAAGAAGGCCGGTGCCACGGCCAAGGGCAAAGTCGGCGGGCGCTGGAAGTAGAGGAGCCGGGAGGCTCCCCGTGGCAGAGATCCTCAGCCCCAACTGGCTCCGACACCGCGCGCCCCACCACCACGCGGCCCAGGCCCCGCGCCGCCTCTCCTCCCTGGGCTCAGATGTGCTGTCGGGGGCACCAGGGAGGCCACCCCCGTGTCTCTGCCCTCCTTGTCCTCACCCCCCGGGGTCTGTGAATAAAGTTACCAGGCTCCCCTTGGCTGGCCGTGTGCTGACCCGTGTATGGGGCTCTGGAGGCCTGGACGCACCCCTGGAAAGCCACTGCCCAGAGGGGCCCACGGGACTGCTGCTCTGCTGCTCATGACTGGGGCGGGCCCTGGGGGTGCTGGGCTCAGACTCTGCGGCAGCTGCTCCCAACCAGCCCCTCACCCCCATCCTGGGAGGCCCCACCACCAGCCTGGGCTGGCCCCAAGGTCCCCTCGGGACAGACACACTGGGCCTCGGCAGGGAGGGTCAGGCCTGGCCACCTGGAAACCATGCAGCACCCCAAAAGGTGAAGGCAGGCAGATCCTGCTCCCAGGGGGCTCCTGAGCCCTCTGTCTGGCACCAGGCACAGGCGGGGGAGGGAGGGCAGGGCAGACCACGAGAGCGCCGGCTCCACACAGACCATTTTTCTACATCGTACAAGCACCAGCACACGGCTGTGCAATGAGTTTGAAAGTCATGACCAAATAGAATTATGGAAAATATAAATCATGAAAATTGGATCAAGACCCAGAGCCTAGCACAGGAAGGTACTCGGGGGGGAAGGTGGGTGTGGAGACGCTTCTCCGGGAGGCTCGGAGGGGGCTTCGGGCTGTGAGGGCCCTGAGCAGGCCAGAGTGACCGGCCTTCATTACCTGGTTGTGGGGGGACCTCGGGGACAAAATGGAATGAGCAGAACCCCCCACATGCATAGGCATACCCAATACATAGAGCGATGTCCCAAGTGCACCCCAGGACACAGAGCGATGTCCCCCCGTGTGCACCCCAGGACACAGAGCGATGTACCCCAGGACACCCACACTTATGAGCAAGCTGTTGAGGAACACATTCCCGGTGACACGCTTTCTGCAGGGCTTGGGAGCAGGAGTGGGACCCGGGGGGAGACCCCTGTGGAGAGACACTGCAGGTGGAGAGGCAGCCAGGGAGCCGGGGCTGGACCGTGACTGAGAGGAGGGGCAGAAGGTGGCTGGAGGGAGACACCCCTGGAGCAGACCAGGGCAGGGGGCGGGGGGGTGGGAAATGGGTGTTCGGTGAGGGTCCCACCAGCCAGACAGCCTGGACGGCTCTTTGCAAGAACTGCTTTGTATCACGTAAGCCCCGGGGAGCTCGAGAGAGAAGTGCGGCCAAACAGAGAATCTCTGTCTGCACCCTGTCTCTCACACGTGCACACATACACATGTGCACACACACACACACACACACACCCTTGGACCCTCCTACATATAAAATGCTAAGTGTGCCCACGGACACTTTTTCCCCAAGTGTGTAAAGGTGGAAGCCATCACAACAGTGCACGTGAGACCATTGGTCCGCTGGGCCCATCTCTGGGACTCCTTGCCTTGTTCCAAAAGGCAGCTGAACACAGCACTGCCTGTTCTGTGGACAGGCCGGTGTCCCGGCAGGGAGGGAGCAGGTCGGGCTCACAATGGTGGAGCAGATGGGTGGAGGTGGAGGACGGGGAGCTGCAAGCGAACCAGAATGCACCCAGAGAGGAATGCAGGTGAAGGCCCACCTCAGACTCCAACCCAAAGCAAAACCCAACAAAGCCAGGACCACTGGACATCCATCCCAGCCAGGGGCCGGCGTGGAGGCCCAGCCCACAGGCAGCCGGGGGCGACTGTTTTAACATATGTTTAGAAACATAAAAACACACTGAATAGCTTTGGGTCCAAAAGGAAGTCATTGAGGAAGGCAGAAAGCACTTAGGGACTTCTGATAACGGGTCACGGGGCCCAGGACCGGGACAAGGCACGGCACCTTTGGGAGCCCCCGCTGACACCAGGAAAGGGAAAGACGTCTCCAACTTTACTGCATTTCACATAAAATTCACAAAAGCAACAACTGAAAACAACAACAAGAGACCAGAAACAGAGAAGCACAGAGATAATAAGAAACAGGAAAGATGGTAATAACATAAAAATCCAAGATGAATAGAGATCAGGAGAGTAAAAAGGAAATGGTTCTTGGAAAAGAGCAGAAGAATAAATAGTCCAACATCTGACATGACAATTAAGTAGACCTGGGAGAAGACACAGGCGTTGCTAGGGCGAGGCTCCATTTGTACTAAAAGAACACGTTTATAAACAACCTTATGGCGATATATTTGAAAACGGGATAAAACAGCCAATTCCCAGGAGAAATATAACTCACAGAATCGGCTCAAGGTCAAGTGCAAACCGTGAATAGACTGATTCATTTTAAAGACGTTGAACCAGTGGTTAAATCATTCTCACCAAAAACCACTGTGAGTTTTTTTTAAGTTACATCATGGCCAAGACCAAGGGCTCTCTGTGTAAGGAAAGACAGTTTTACATCAGAAAAATGAATGATGTAGTGTTGTATGTTCGTAACACATAAAGACTTTAAAGGCTACAGAAAAAGAAAAAGAAAAAGAAATTGAGGGCTGGAGGTGTTGCTCAGGGGTGGAGGGTAGGAATGAGGTCTGGTCTGGAAGGCTCCTACTTCAAACTGACCAGGTGTCCCCTCCAGAGCTTTGAAATAAGAAAAAGGATTTTCTTTGACAGAGGTTCTGGTAGGGAAGGCAAAAGAAAAATCACCCCCTTCATCACCGTACGGTTATTTCCCGGGAAACCGGGGGCACTGGCAGTTCTGAGCTAGGATGGAGTGGGTTCGGCTGCCAGGGGCACAAGTTACAGACAGGGGATTTCTCCTGAGGTGCTGGGGACATGCAGCTGCAGACCCCAGCTGTCGGGCAGGAGCTGTGAGGCCAGGCTGGGCTGTGGAGACTGAGGTCCAGATACTCAGTTTAGACATGAAGGGAAGGAAAGAAGGAAGGGAAGAAAAGCAAAGGGGGGAGAGAAGAAAAAAAAATCACAATTAAAATGTAAAGATGTAAGGGAGAAACCCGTGGAAGGGGGAAAACAGGAGCCACATGCATTCTACTGAGAATGGAGCCAGCACAATTCCAAACAAGGTGGTTAGACCCCAGGCCCAAAGTCCAAGAGTCCCATGGCAAGCCAAATAAGGAGATGTGGTGGAGGGAAGAGAAAAGAGGCGTGAGGGCAGACACGGGGCACCCATCTTCAGGGGACAAACACTGGCCTGGGGTTAAAGAGGACGTGATTGGGAACACACAGTTCAAACAGCCCCCAGTGGAGTCAGGAGGCTGCCTTGGATGACTATTATCTCTGTCCCTGGCCCTCCGAGGGCTTCCTGGGCGGTTTTATCAGTTCAGCATTAGGACAGAGCAGGATGAGTTGCCTCGCGGGTGATCTTTGGAGTTCTTTGGCTGTTTTTTTGAAGATGATAAGAAGAATCCATGCCTGCGTGAGGGGCTGTTTGCCTTCCACACACACGATGTTTATCAGCAAATCTTCTCTTTCTGGAGCCCAAGAGGATTGCAAAATGATTGCCGGAGATAAGAGTTCAGATCAAAGGGCACAGGCACAGAGTTGAGGAGCTTTTTGTGAATTCACAAGCTTCTCAGACCCTCACAGGGTACAATCAATATGATTCCTAATATGGGAAAGACAGACAGATCATAGCATGGCAGCAGGAATAGAGCCACCAGGAGACAGGCCCTGTGATGAGGAGAGTAGGGAGGAAAAGTAAGACCCCCACGGGCAGGCTGACTGAGGATGGGTTGAGCAGCAGGGACCGCTGAGGGGCAGCCCTGTGGCCTGGCCCACTGCCAGTGTGGACCCAGCAGGCAGGGTCTCACAATGGGGGGAAGTGGGTTCTGGGAAGGCACTGAATATTTTGTCAGTTGTGGGGCTTGAACTCTGGGCCTGGGCACTGTCCCTGCGCTCTTCAGCTCAAGGCTAGTGCTCTACCCCTCGAGCCACAGAGCCGGTGCCCTGGTGGTTCATTGGAGATAAGAGTCTCATGGAGTTTCCTTGCCTGGGCTGGCTTTGAACTCAGATCACAGCCTCCTGAGTAGCTAGGATGACAGGCCTGAGCCACCAGTGCCTGAAAAAACAGTGAATTTTGGCTAAGTTGACCCAGAGACAGTGTGAGACTTAAACTTGGGGCCTGGGTGCTGTCCTTAAGCTTCTTTTGCTCAAGGTTAGCATGCTACCATTTTCAGCCATATGTGTTACTCCCAGTTTTCTGGTGGTTCATTGTAGATAAGAGTCACCAACTTTCCTGCCCGGGCTGGCTTTGAACCACAATCCTCAGATCACAGCCCCCTGAGTAGCTAGGATGACAGACGCGAGCCACCAGTTGCCCAGCTACTGTGTGGGTCTTTTTTTCCCCTTCCACAGAGCAGCTCAGGGGTCAGGAGGAGGCTCTACAGGCAAGCAGAGAACCTTTGTGAAAAGACGTTGCATTTACTGTCCCTCCGCCAGCCAGGACACCATGAGGGAAGAGGCAAAGGGGAGAGGGGAGCAGAAGGAAGGCCGGAGCACACGCAGCTCCCAGAGAAGGGGCATCAGGAGAGATGTAGGCCCAGAGGGGGCGCTGTTTCCTCTGCAGCTGAGCGCCAGGCAGGCGAAGGCGGGAAAGCCAGGAAGGCTCCGCTCCGCTCCCTGGAGCCAGAAGGGCCCTGTGTAACCATGGAAAGACAGTTGACGCAGGCAGGGATTACCAGAGGGGCTCTGTTCCCGGGGGTCAGAACGCTGACCTCCAGGCACCGCTTGTGTGACTACTGATGAAATAAAACAGAGACAAGCATCAGTGGCCTTTAATGTCATCAATGCTGAGAAGACTCAGAAGATGCCTAAAGAAGGACATGGCTTTTCTACTAACCATCCAACCACCTGGAGTCAGTCCCAAGCAGCCTGCTGTCCTGCCCGACCAGGCGTGGACCCCTGCGGCCTGGAGAGGTGCGGGCCACGGGCCGGTGGGCTTCGGGACAACTCTCAAGGGGGACGATG